GGAGAAGGAGAACAAGAGGAGATAGGAAAACGACTAAGCAATTTGGAAAAGAAGATGGAGAATATGGAAAAGAAAATAAATACTTTATGGAATTGGTAGAAGGCATCACAAGAAGAACAGAATGAAGAAGAAAACAGAAAAAAAGAAAAAAAGAAGCAACAAGTACAATATCAAGATGCAGAGGAAATGAACACAGAAGAGGATAAAACCCCCTTAACAACATACAAGGCAATTAACGATGAAGTGGTAGAAAGACAGGATAAGATAGAAAAACAAATAGAGCATATGAGAAGGATGTTAAGTGATTTATTAGAGAACAGCCAGTCTGCAATCACCAAAAAAAGACAACAACCACAAAGGCAATAGGAAAAAAAAGATACCAAAACAAAACAACTAAATATGACAGAACAACAAAGAAATAATAAAAATACCAAAAATATCAACATGTATAAGGAAAAAAGAACGAATATGAACAACTTTAAAATCACAACAATAAACATAAATGGATTAAACGAAGAGTTCAAAAAACAACAATTACAACACTACTATTATCAGAACAATATAACGATAATAGGAATTTCAGATACTAAATTCAAAAAAACAATAAATAAAAAAATCATGGGTGACAATAAATACAAGACATTTTGGATACACACCGAAAAACAAGCAGGAGGGGTAGACTTAATAATACAAAGAGACTGGGCACAACATATAGAAAAAATAACAAGATGGCAAAGAAGAATCCTGGCGATAGAACTAATATTCAAGGAGAGACATATCATAGGAATAATACAGGTATATGTGCCTCCACAATTGGGTCAAGAAAGAAAAGAGATGATGATAGAAACGAGAAGAATCATAAACGAATGGAAGAAAAAACAGATGATAGGAATAATCGTCATGGGAGAAATAAACACAACAATCAAGGACATTTTGGATAGAACGGGAGAAAAAGAGCCAAAGGGAAAAAAAGAATGGATCAAAATGCTTAAAGATTTTGAACTTTACGACACATATAGACAGCATAATAGAGACACAGTAGATTTCACATGAGAAAACGAAACATAGAGCAGAATAGACATGGTATGGCTCTCAGAAGATATGAAAGAGCTATGCAAAGAAGCAACTATAGAAGACATAAGGCACGAACTAAATACAGACCATAAAGCGGTTTCAGCAGAGATCGATTTATACACAATTATGAAAGGAGTTAAAAAAATAAGAACAACAAATGAGAGGAAAGTATACGACTATAAACAGATGAATGAAGAAAAATGTGAAGAGTGGAGAAAGGCAATAGAACAGGTGAAGGAAAAGGAAAGGAATAAGAACCATTCAAAAAGGAAAGGAAATGGATGGGAAAAGGAAAAATCAAACAACGAATGGAAAGAGATGAAAGAATAATGGAAAGAGGCAGCAAAAAAGATCATTTCAAAAAAGACCCAAGGAACAGATACACAAGCCTTCAGCAAGAGAATAAAACAACACAATTCACAGTGTTCAGAAAATTAAATAAAGCATTGAACATTGCAAAAGAAATAGATGAGAAAGGAAAATGGGGAAACAAGGGAGAAGAATTAGAAAAAAGAAACCAAATCAACAGATATATAAAAGCACTACCGCAAACAAAAATAGAGTTGCGATATTTGAGTACAAC